AAAAAACCGAAAAAGGGCTTTGGGTGTGGGGGGAGGATTTGGAGGGGGGTGCCTGTTCTGACAACCTATACACCTCCGGCCCGAGGCCTCGGCGGATTTATAGCTACCCTCCTGAGTGCAGCCAAGAGGACGTTATGTGTTTTTTTTTCAATTGTTGGGTTTAGGAATAGTCTTCGGAGGCCTTCGAGGGTCATCCTGGCGGAGATTCCAAACTCGCTAAACACCATTGGGAGGTTGGGGTTTAGGGTTTAGGGTTCAGGGTTTAGGGTTTAAGGGGTTTTGGCTTTGGGGCTTGAGGGAGTCGATCTTGAATCACCGGGGCCTTTTCTCTTTTTTTGAACTCTTTGAGTTGTAGCTGTAAGAAAACTGAGAGTATGAACCCAGGAAAGGTCTCATGTGCGCCGACCAAGAAAAGACCCTTAGTCCTTTGCTAGTTTTTGTCAGTATTTCTTGTTTTGGCAACCTTAAACCCCAAACCCCAAACCCCAAACCCCAAACCCCAAACCCTAAACCCTAAACCCGAAACCCTACACCGTAAACCCCCCACTCCCCCAAAGGCCCAAACCCTGAGCAGGTCATGCAGGCCTGCTGGGCGCAAGACCCGCGGGAGCGTCCCAGCTTTCCTGAGGTGCCTTTCGGGGTTTAGGGTTTAGGGTTTAGAGTTTAGGGTTTAGGGTTTAGGGTTCAGTGATGATGGACTTAGGGGTTAGGGTTCAAGCGTCTGAGGTTTCTTCAGGGTATGTGCTGAGGCCTCCTGTTTTGGGGGCCTCTGACCCGAAAAGAGAACTCCGAATCGTTCCTTCTCATTTCTTCGGGCACGCAAGTTAAGTCGCCCTCGACTGCGGCTCCAACATATTCTTACACACAAGCTACGTCAGGGTTTAGGGTTTAGGGTTTAGGGTTTAGGGTTTAGGAAACGTGTGTACTCCCAGTTTGCACGCTTGGCTTTCTGCTTCGAAAGCCCTCGGAGCCCGTGCCAGTGTTCGTGATGTGTGGGGTTTCCGAAATTCGGGGCTACCTTATTGGTGTCCTTACCATAAGGGGAGTCCTACTATTTGGGGATCTATATTGGGGGTCCCCTTTTCGTAAACCCTAAACCCTAAACCCTAAACCCTAAACCCGAAACCTTAAACCCTCAACCCTAAACCCTAAACCCTAAACCCTAGACCCTAAACCCTAGACCCTAGACCCTAGACCCTAGACCCTAAACCCTAAACCCTAAACCCTAAACCCGAAACCTTAAACCCTCAACCCTAAACCTCTAAACCCTAAACCCTAAACCCTAAACCCCAGACCCTAAACCCTAAACCCTAAACCCTAAACCCTAGACCCCAAACCCTAAACCCTAAACCCTAAACCCTATACCCTAAACCCTAAACCCTAGACCCTAGACCCTAGACCCTAGACCCTAAACCCTAAACCCTAAACCCTAAACCCTAAACCCTGAAACCCTAGACCCTAGACCCCAGACCCTAGACCCTAAACCCTAAACCCTAAACCCTAAACCCTAAACCCTAAACCCTAAACCCTAAACCCTAAACCCTAAACCCTAAACCCTAAACCCTACCATTCTTCGTCAGAAGCGAAGCCCACAGCCTGCGGCCACAGGTGCTGAGGCTGCTGGAAGCCATTTGAGCCCGGGACCGCCAGCTTAGTGGTTTTTGGACTTCTTGCTGTTCAGGGTTTAGGGTTTAGGGTTTAGGGTTTAGGGTTTAGGTTCTTTCTTAGGCTTTCGGGTTGCTACTTGGGCTTGGTGGTTGGATAGGTCACCAGGTCTGCGCCGGCTCGGCGCGCGTAGGACTGCGGATGTTGTCCATCCGCAAGCGCAGGGTGCAGATGAAGACCAAAACCCCCAACTTCTTGGCAAGGAATGATGGAATGAGGGCCCTGTGTATATATATATATATACATATAAACATATATATATATATATGTATACATAGAGATAGATATATTAATATACATATACATATACATATACATATACATATACATATACATATACATATATATATATACCCCTTTTAAGGGATTCTATGGGGTACCTCATTCCCGCATTCCCTACTAAGAGCCAGCCAGAAAAGTGCAGATGAAGGCCCTGCAGGGTCATCAGGGTGTGGTGGTACGGGCTCCTGGTGGATGGGTTTTGGGTTTCGGGCTCAGAGTCTGGGATCACCGGATTAGGGTTTAGAGTTTAGGGTTTAGGGTTTAGGGTTTAGGGTTTAGGTCTCAACGTCCCCCTAAATTCCGGCAGTTCATCCTCGGCCCGAAGCCCGTCCAGACATGGTGCTCATCCCTAATTGACCTCCCTACAAATTCCCCCAAAAGGCTCCCAAAGTTTGAAGGTTGCAACGATCATCCCCCCCCACCGGACCCAAGTTGGTCATGGATTCCCCCCAACAGGTGGCCCTCAATTTTCTAAGGGGATCCCACTATCTGGGGTCCATATTAAGATTAAGGGGCCCTTTATTATCGTAAACCCCCATATGAAATTCCCTTCTTCATCTGCACCTGCCAACTGAGTGGGCGAGTCTTTTACGCACAAGCCAGACAGGGGCCCCCCCCAGATTCCGCCGATTAGCCTCGGGAGGCGCAACCCGGAGGACCCCAAGTCAGCTCTGAAGCCAGCACCCGAAGCCTTAAGCCCTAAACCCTAAACCCTAAACCCTCAACCCTAAACCCTAAACCCTAAACCCTAAATCCGGGATAAGAGGGGCTCGGGGAAGCAGCCCCGGAAACGCCCCCGTCTTTCCCCAACTTGGGCCACCCGGTGGCACCCTTACTTCCCAGAGGGGAGGTTTTCTTGTAAACCCCATGTCAAGCATTTAGGGTTTAGGGCTCGGGTTTCGGGTTTAGGGTTCAGGGTTCAGGGTTTAGGGTTTAGGGTTTAGGGTTTAGGGTCACTGACCCTAAACCCTAAACCCCGGGGTTTCTTAGCAATGCTGTCGTACTCTACCCCACTACACAACCTAAACCTTAGCATTGCATCTTGGCTCCACGGCTTGGAATACTATACGGCCTTGTAGAAGCCGTGAAGGGACGACACAGGCAGTCGAATTCTCAAACTCCCTAATTCTTCAGGATCGGTAGTAAACCCAGCCTACATGCACTATACCCCCCCCCCCCCAAAAAAAAAAAACCTTGAAACCCTGCACTCAAAACCCTGAACTTCTGAACCCTAAACCTTGAGTTTTATGGACTTGATATAGCCAAGTGGTGCCCTTTTGTTCGTTTTAAGGTCCCAGGTTCAACCCCAGCATGGTGCCCATGATAATTTGGTTAGGTTACTCGGCTACCAAGGTTTAAACCGTAAACCCTAAACCCTAAACCCTAAACCCTAAAACCTAAACCCTAAACCCTAAACCCTAAACCTTAAACCCTAAACCCTAAACCCTACACCCTAAACCCTAAACCCCAAGATTTTGCGGAAACTGGGAGATGGCACGGACCCTGCTGCAGTTGACGTGATATCCCCTCTTTGGCATGCGGCTTAGGGTTTAGGGTTCAGGGTTCAGGGTTTAGGGTTTAGGGTTTGGGGTTTAGGGCAACCTTGACTGACACACTTTCCTGAAAGTTGAGAGCACCAGAAAGGCCCACAATGCACACTTACTCCCCCCGCCCCCTCCCCCCTCCCAGATTGTTTAACTCTGTTTCACCGAGAGACAAAGGTCTGCGCGGCCGCCAATCCAAATCTGTGCCCATGGGACTACTAATTGCTTAAGAACCCCCCCCAAAAATCTTAAAATAAACCAAAATCTTCCTTATTAGAAGGGTAATATAGGCCAAAATCTTCCTTAGAAGGGAAATATCGGGAATCAACCAAAATCTTCCCTAGAAGGGTAATATAGAGATTGTGATTTCTTATTCTTTTGGGGGTTCTTAAGTAAGCAGTAGGGGATAGCCGAGGTCTTGGCCATGCTCACCCGGACCCAAAGCCCAAAACCCCACACCCTGAAACCCCAAAACCCTAAGCCCTCAACCCTAAACCCTAAAACTCTAAACCCTAGACCCTAAACCCTAAACCCTAAACCCTAAACCCTAAGCCCTAAACCCTAAACCCTAAACCCTAAACCCCAAGCCCTCAACCCTGAACCCTAAAGCCCACGAGACCTGAATCTGACACTGGGCTCAAGCTTGTGTCCCCCAGAGGCATCCTACTTGTGATCACTGGCCCAGGCTTCGACAGGTTTCATGTGGAAGGTTTCGGGTTTAGGGTTTAGGGTTAGGGTTTAGGGTTGAGGGATTAGGGTTTAGGGAGTGTGGTGTTGAGGGTTTGAATGTCGACCGTCACGACGTCTCCGACGAACGGGTCTGACTTTCCATACTCAAAGGGTGGACTTGTGGCAAGAACCCTGAACCCAACTCCCTAAACTAAACCCTAACTCCTAAACCCTAAATCCGAAGCCTGTTTCATGTCCGGACGTGAGAGATCCTCATATCCCTTGGAATGCACTGGGGCCACGTGCAGGTTCGAGGTTTTAAGGGTTTTGAGGGTGTTCAGGGTTTAGGGATTTTAGGGTTTTGAGGGTTTAGACTTTGAGTTTGCAGACGCCGCCCTAAACCCGAAACCCTAAGCCCCAAGCCCAAGCGCTTTAAGAACCTCCCTCCAAAAAAAACATCTACTCCTTCTTTATAAGGGCAACATAGGGATTATTTTCACCCTAAACCCTAAACCCTACACCATAAACCACCCTACACCCGAAACCCTGAACCCTGTAGCCTAAACCCTAAACCCTGAACCCTGTTAACCCTTTTAGCCCTTTTAGCCCTTTTAACGCTTTAAACCCTTTTAACCCTTTTGACCCTTTTAACCCTTTTAACCCTTTAAACCCTGTTAACCCTTTTAAACCCTAAACCCTCAACCCTCAACCCTCAACCTTCAACCCTCAACCCTCAACCCTCAATCCTAAGCCCTAAGCCCTAAGCCCTAAGCCCTAAGCCCTAAGCCCTAAGCCCTAAACCCTAAACCCTAAACCCTAAACCCTAAACCCTAAACCGAGGTCAAGGCAAACCTGGCCCACAAGCCCTACCTGGAAGCTCTGAGCATTGCCTCGCGGCCGCACCTGCACCCGAAGAGAGCCGGAGGGCGCTTTTTCTTGGGGCAGAGGGGTTTAGGGTTTAGGGTTTAGGGTGGAGCCCTGAAAGCCCCAAACTGCCCTACGCCCCCAGCTGCCCTAAACCCCCAACTGCCCTAAGCCCTAACCCTAAACCCTAAACCCTAGACCCTAAACCCTAAACCCTAAACCCTGAACCCTAAACCCTAAACCCTAAACCCTAAACCCTAAACCCTAAACCCTAAACCCTAAACCCTAAACCCTAAGCCCCCAAAGCCCGTTCGCCCCTGAGGCCATCTCGAAGTCGCAGGACTCGGTCCTGGTAGACTACCTCATGCAGTTTTTCCACAACATCGTGCCTCGGTTTAGGGTTTAGGGTTTAGGGTTTAGGGTTTAGGGTTTAGGGTTTAGGGCTAGCCGTGAAGGGCCCAGGTCATCCTAAACCTTCAGCTCTGGAAGCCGCGGGTTTGGGGTTTCGTAGGGTTTCAGAGGGGCAGCCAACTCCTTAAGTGACCATGTGACTCAACCCTAGATAAACCCTAAACCCTAAACCCTAGACCCTAAACCCGAAACCCTACACCCTAAACCCTAATCCGCTTTCGGGCGCAGGGGCTTGTCGCACGCTCTGGCAGGTGCTCGTGAGGGTTGTAGGAGCCCAGCTTCGTTCGGATCTTCGGGCCACAGGGCTTTGAGGTGGTTTGGGGTTCAGAGGCTTAGGGTCTTGGGTTTAGGGTTTAGGGTTTAGGGTTTAGGGTTTAGGCTTTAGGAGGTTTATGGGTTTAGGGGTTTTGGGGTGTGGGGGGTTTTAGGGGTTTGGGGGGGGGGGTTTAGCCGATCAAGGGTGCCTGGGCACTCCGTCGCATTCCTCTCAGGTAAAGCTCGATGGCAAGTGTGGCAGCAACCCGGCCCTTTGAAGGATAGCTTGTTGGTTAGGGTTTAGGGTTTTGGGTTCAGGGTCCAGGGTTTAGAGCTCTTCGGAGTTTGGAATTTAGAGTTGAGTTTAGGGTTTAGGGTTTAGGGTTTAGGGTTTAGGGTTCAGGGTTTAGGGTTTAGGGTTCAGGGTTCAGGGCTCAGGGCTCAGGGCTCAGGGTTCAGGGTTCAGGGTTCAGGGTTCAGGGTTCAGCGTTTAGGGTTTAGGGTTAGGGTTGAGGGTTTGTTGTTATTCTTTTGGGAGGGGGGGGGGCCGGAACCTTGTAGGGCTTAGGGTCGAGGGTTGTGGGCGATTCTACGAAGCCTAAACCCTGAACCCTGAACCCTGAACCCTAAACCCTAAACCCTAAACCCGAAACCCTAAACCCTAAACCCTAAACCCTGAACCCTGGACCCTGAACCCTAAACCCTGAACCCGAAATGCCCAAAGGCATGCTCACAGCTTGCGGCTTCCAGCGCCACATCTTCAACTATGTCGGGGCCCAAGCATTCAAGGGATTAAGACTCGTACCGGTTAAGGGTTTAGGGTTTAGGGTTTAGGGTACAACTCTGGGTACAACCTTCGGGGTCTAAGGTAGAGTCCCATGAAGCGATGGTTTCTCTCGCGAGTTGTGGCGGATGTCAGGGTCTCAGGGTTTAGAATCTTCGAGGTTGATGGGCCCAGGGTTCAGAGATTTAGGCTTCGGGGCTGGGATTTTCCCCCTTATACTAACGGTCCAGAAAGAGAGATTATAGTACCCCTAAGGTGGAACATCTCAACTTCAGAGGTTTAAGGGTAAGGGTTCAGGGTTTAGTGGGCTGAGGGTTAGTTTTCGGTTTAGAGGGTTCAGGTTTAGAGGATGGTGACGTGTCTGAAGGCACCCTGCTTCAGAGCTCCGGCCTCCAACCACGACGCCCTAAGGCACCCCATCCAAACCCCGACAGCACCCTAGCCACTGCAACGCCTAAACCCTGCACCCTACACGCTAAACCCTAAACCCTAAACTCTAAACCCTAAACCCTAAACCCTAAACCTTAAACCCTAAACCCTAATCCTAAACCCAACACTCTTTGTGGGGAGGGGTTTTGCGGATCCCCAGATCCCAGGTTGTCGGTTCGAGGGTCAGGGTTTAGTGCTCGGGATGTTTCTGGGATTCTGGGGCTTGTCGGGGTTTTGGGAGTTTTGGTTTGCTGGTGCCCTAAACCCCTAACCCTAAATCCTAAACCCTCAAGCCTAAACCCTGAACCCTTCACCCTAATCCTGAACCTTAAACCCTCGGACGTAGGAGCGTCTCGAATCCTTGTCCATTGTGTCCGCCATCTACCTCTGCGACCTCTGCCGGCAGGCGCGGGTTTAGGGTTTAGGGTTTGCGGTCTGTCTTCTAGAGGAGGTTTTGGGATTTGCACAAGCTCGGAATAAAGGCTAAACCCTAAACCCTAAACCCTACCCGAGCAGCCCCAAAGACCTAAACAAGGATGTCCATGTTTGACTTGGAGCCACCAGCCCTAAACCTTGTGTGCGGAAATGGCCAGGTGGGGCCTTGAGATTGCTTAGGGTTAGGGTTTAGGGTTTAGGGTTTAGGGTTTAGGGTTTAGGGTTTAAGGTTTAGGGTTTAGGGTTTAGGGTTTAAGGTTCAGGGTTTCGGGTTTAGGGTTTAGGGTTGATAAGGGAGACCGGAGACCCTGAAAAGGGAACCCTTCTTAACCCTCTTCGGGCCCTCTTAAGCATGGACCCTATTCACAAAAAATCTAGATCCCCAAGGGTCCCCTTAATCCAATCCCCTAAACCCTTAGCAATTTCAATAGACCCCAAAGTTTGGGATGTTCCCTCTTATACTAACAGCCCTGAATAGGGATTAGAATAGAATAGGGGGTATCACAATCCCTCTTGGCAACTGTTAGTATAAGGGGGAACATCCCAACCTAGAGCCCCAAGCCCCAAGCCCCAAGCCCTAAGCCCTAAGCCCTAAGCCCTAAGCCCTAAGCCCTAAGCCCTAAGCCCTAAGCCCTAAGCCCTAAGCCCTAAAGCCCTAAGCCCTAAGCCCTAAGCCCTAAGCCCTAAGCCCTAAGCCCTAAGCCCTAAGCCCTTAAGCCCCAAACCCTAAGCCCTAAGCCCTTAAGCCCCAAACCCTAAGCCCTGAACCCTAAACCCTAAACCCCAAACCCTAAACCCTAAATCTCAAACCCTAAACCCCAAACCCCAAACCCTAAACCCTAAACCCTAAACACTAAACCCTAAACCCTAAACCCTATAAATCCCGAGGTATAGGGTTTAAGGGCAACCCAGAGGTGGCCAACACCGACGCTGTGGTTCGAGCAACGCTGCTGGAGGCGACTGCTCGCTTCCTTGAAGCTGTTTCTCAAGGGGTTTAGGGTTTAGGGCTAGGGTTTAGGGTTTAGGGTTTAGGGTTTAGGGTTTAGGGTTTAGGGTTTAGGGTTTAGGGTTTAGGGTTTAGGGTTTAGGGTTTAGGGTTTAAGGTTTTTAGGGTTTAGGGTGGGTTTAGGGCTTAGGGCTTAGGGCTTAGGGCTTAGGGCTTAGGGCTTAGGGCTTAGGGTTTAGGGTTTAGGGTTTAGGGTTAGGGTTTAGGGTTTAGGGTTTAGGGTTTAGGGTTTAGGGTTTAGGGTTTAGGGTTATTTAGGGTTTAGGGTTTAGGGTTTAGGGTTTAGGGTTCAGGGCTCAGGGCTTTAGGGCTTTAGGGCTTTAGGGCTTAGGGTTTAGGGCTTTAGGGCCTTAGGGCTTTAGGGCTTGGGGTTCCCCGAACGGGCCATGCATCTTCACTCCTGGCACTCGTTGCGCTCTACACTTTCGGGGGACTGACACCCTAAGCCCTACAGCCTAAACCCTAATCCCTAACCCCAAACCCTAAACCCTAAACCCTAATCCCTAGACCCCGAACCAGTGCAGTGCGCCACGTCCAGGAGATGATCTTCTCGGTGCTCACGGATGCCTGGGTGGTGTACTTGGAAGCTGGGACTCCACCAGTCCGGCTTAGGGTTTAGGGTTTAGGGTTGAGAGTTTAGGGTTGAGGATTTAGGGTTTAGGGGTTTGGGTTTAGGGTTTAGGGTTTAGGGTTTAGGGTTTAGGGTTTAGGGTTTAGGGTTTAGGGTTTAGGGTTTAGGATTTAGGGTTTAGGGTTTAGGGTTTCGGGATGAGGACACCCTAAGACCCGGAAGTCCTCGTGAGCTGCGGCTTCGGCCCGAAGACACCCAAGTGTGCTCATTACCCTAAACCCTAAACCCTAAACCCTAAACCCTAAACCCTAAACCCTAAACCCTAAACCCTAAACCCTAAACCCTAAACCCTAAACCCTAAACCCTAAACCCGCCCGCCACCCCACTCTCTTGTCTTTTGGGGTAGGCGGGCGCTGGTCGAGCGCTCAGTGAGACCCTGCCCCAGGCGGGCGACCGAGCTGGCCTCCAGGCTGGCTTACCCTCCAGGCAGGCACAGGCCGAGTCAGCAGTTGTCACTGTATTGTATGAATTAAACCCCAAGCTGTCCGCGCACATGGTTGGGTCCTGCATTGGAGGGCCCCCTGGGACGGCCCCTTGAGACCCCTGGTCCATCACCCCCGTCCGCTGGGCTGAGGGGACCAGGCAGCCAGGCTCTGGCCAAGCGGTCTTCTGCAGTGTCTGGCCTGACCTGGCCCTGACCCTGACCCTGGCCCTGGCCCTGACCCTGACCCTGGCCCTGGGGGCCCTGGCCCTGGCTCTGGCGCCCTGGCCCTGGCTTTGCCTGGCCCTCCCTGGCCCCGCCCTGGCCCTGCCCGACCCGGCCCTGCCCTGGTTGTGGCCCTGGCGTTGGCCATGCCCTGCCCCTGACCCTGACCGGGCATAGCCCTTGGGCCAGCCCTGGCCCTCTCTGCCCTGATCCTGACCCAGACTGAGCGCTGCCCTGACTAGTTTGCGGCCCTGGCCCTGGCCTCTGGCCTGTTCTCGGTCACCCTACCCGCCCGCCCAAGCCAAGCTGTCCGCGCACCAGTTTGTGTCCGTTTCGGGGCTCTCCCTCTGGCTTTAGCCCCTTCACGCCAACCCAATCTGTCCTGCAACTTTGTGCCTGGTCCTGACCCTGGTTCGGCACCCCACCTTACCCCGTTCGCGTTAAGCCAAGTTACCAGCCCTGTTTTACTGGTTTTTTTGGTTAACCCAAGCTGTTCACTGTGTGTTCTTCCTGGCTGGAGCCTCTTCGCGCCAACCAAGCCTCGCTGCCTTTCTCTGTTCCTGGCCCATCCCTTAGCCCCTTCGCGCCAACCCAAGCTGTCTTCACGGACCCTGCCTCGTTTCCGTCTGCTGCAGCTTTGCGCCTGGTCCACGCACCTTGTGGAAATCCCCAAAAAGGGTGTGAGTGCTGACTCATGTGATGCTTTGTAAAAAAATAAAAGGTCTTAACTCCTTGAGAGTTGTAAGTGGGCGGTCTTGGGGTGGGTAGGTCTGCAGACTACCGCGCGCTCCCAAAGCGCGCTCCCGTCTGGCACGCCCTAAACCCTAAACCCTAAACCCGAAACCCTAAAGCCTAAACCCTAAACCCTAAACCGTCCTGGGGGCCATCCAGGAAGACCCGCGCCTGGCACCACATCTTGCTCTGATGTGCTCGGCGCCGCTTGGCCATCAGCTCTGTTGGTGTTTTGGGGGAGTTTAGGGTTTAGGGGTTTAGGGTTTAGGGTTTAGGCTTTAGGGTTTAGGCTTTAGGCTTTAGGTTTTAGGTTTAAGGGGGGTTTAGAGTTTGTCGCCAGTCTACTTCAGACTTTACGCTTCAGAGTTTAGTAGAGGAATTGCCTGCAACCCTAAACCCTAAACCCTAAACCTTAAACCCTAAAGTCTAAGCTCTAAAGCGCGTTCTTGCGGTACATGTTGTGATGCCTTGTCATCACTTGGGAAGGGTCACACGCACATTACGACTAGAACGCCCCTAAACCCCCGAAACCTTAAACCCTAAACCCTGAACCCTAAACCCTAAACAGTAAACCCCTTGCCCCACACTGGACTGATCCCCAACGGCCCCGGTGCCTTAAGTGTCAGGTTCTGCTACCATGCCGACTCCCACCAGGAGTTCGTGCTACAGGGAGGCGCCCTCGATCAAAACCCTAGACCTTAGGCCCTAGACCCTAGACCCTAGACCCTAAACCCTAAACCCTAAATCTAAACCCTAAACCCTAAACCCTAAACCCTAAACCCTAAGCCCTAAACTCTAAACCCTAAACCCTAAACCCTAAACTCTAAACCCTTCGACGGTTCCTCGAAGTGGCTAGCGCTGATGCTGAGCGTTGGTATTGGGGTTGAGGGGGTGCACCGATTCCCTAAACCCTAAACCCTAAACCCTAAACCCTAAACCCTAAACCCTAAACCCTAAACCCTAAACCCTAAACCCTAAACCCTAAACCCTAAACCCTAAACTGCCGAGAGCGCCGCTGTCCATATGCATGGGCGCTCGAGGCTTCGACCGAGGTCCCCGACCGAGCGTCTCCACAGAACGGTGAGGGAGGGTAAAGACTCCCGGTAGACGAGACGGCAGTGACTGGCTACGCCTCAGACCTAGGGCGTCAGCCCTAATATAATTAGGACCCCAAACCTACGACCATTGATGTCTTTTAGTGTTTTTTACGGGGGTCAGGGGGGTACCCCCCGGGGGGGTCTGGGGCCCGGGCTGGCAGATTCCGGGGACCCCCCCTGCCGGGGCCGGTCCAGGGGGGCTGATTTTGCCTCCGATCGTTGTTTTTGGGTTTGCCTTTCTCCAAAACCCCCGACACTTTCTGGGACCCCCCTGGGACCCCCCTGGGACCCCCCTGGGACCCCCTGGGACCCCCTGGGACCCCCCTGGGACTGCCCTGGGACCCCCTGGGACCCCCCTGAAAACCTTTTGGGACCTCCCTTGCGACTGCAACCTGGGACCCCCCCCCCGGGACCCCCTTAGGGGCCCCCCTGAGACCCCCCTGACACCCCCTCCCAAGGGTTCCCGGACCTCCTGAAACCCCGCTCGGTTTTGGAACGAGAGACCACCCAGAGCCGTCGATTTCAGTACTAAAAAATCGCATTTTTAACTGGGACCCGGGCCGATCCTGGGGTCCGCCTCATTTGGGGTGTTTTTGGAGGCAAACTTTCCCTTTCAAGGGGGGTCGGAGTTTGAGGCTAGGGGGGGTCTCAGAAGACTATTTTGCCTTTAAAATTGAAAAACACAACCCCCCCTTGACCAAAACTAGGCTGTGAAAAGGTCGCGGGGGCGGCCCTCCATCAGAATTGAGGGTTACAAACTCTGAAATATCCTGAAAAACATAAAAACCATAAAAAAACATAAAAACGCTGAAAAACCTTGAAGAACCTTGAAAAACTTGAAATCCCGAAGCCGGTGAAGGCTCGGTTTTGGTCAAAAATCCAGAAAACGAGAGACCACCCAGAGCCGTCGATTTCCGGCCTCCCAGAGTGGCCTCCTGGGGCCTGAGCTGACAGGGTCTCATTTGCCCAGACGCGTAAGAAAATCGACGGTTTTCCATTTCAAAAAGCAGGGCCGGCCGAGGCCCTGCTACCCCCGACCGTTTTTGCTGCCCTTTCAAGCCCGAAAATGTGGGTTTTTGGTATTGCACTTGATGGTTTTGGGCACCTTCCATTTTACTCCGTGAAAGCTCCAAGAAGCCTACGAGTCACTGACAGGCTCCATGAAGCTCGGGAGACCCCGCCCTGCTCTTTCTCTGTAAAAAGCAAGAAAGCCCCCCTTGAGGGGGGTTTGGGGGGTGAACCCTAAACCCTAAATGAGAATAGTTTGGGTGGTTGGGGTGGGACTACATGCTAACGCAAGCGAGCGGCCCGGGTGCTTTTAGCACCAGCGAGCTTCCCTTCTATACACCCTAAACCCTAAACCCTAAACCCTAAACCCTAAACCCTAAACCTAAACCCTAAACCCTAAACCCTAAACCCTAAACCCTAAACCCCAAGCTCTGTGCCCTAAGCAGCGGAGGTGTGAGGCTGGTGATCCAGATGTACACCAAGTCCAAGGCATCCTGCGGGGATGTCCTGCGAAGACCCGGGAACTCGAAAAACCCTAAACCCTAAACCCTAAACCCTATAAACCCTAAACCCTAAACCCTAAACCCTAAACCCGAAACCCTAAACGCTAAACCCTAAACCCGATAAACTTTTCGCCAGGTTGAGCACGTCCGGCTCTGTTGCCTGCTCTGCCTGCTGTACCTGGCAGAGACTGGGCACTCCCAACGCAGCATCGCTCAGGAGAAGGCCGTACGGCATGGAAGATACGAACCCTAAACCCTAAACCCTAAACCCTAAACCCTAAACCCTAAACCCTAAACCCTAAACCCTCAACCCTCAACCCTCAACCCGAAACCCTAAACCCGAAACCCGAAACCCTAAACCCGAAACCCGAAACCTCAACCCCGGCGTTTAGGGTTTAAAGAATCCGGAATGTGGATCATGGGCTGAGGGCTCAGCAGTCTGCGCCTGGGCGATTCTCTTCGCATGACGGTTGGCTCAGGGTGCCCAAAACCCTCAACTTTTAAGCCCTAAACCCGAAACCCGAAACCCTAAACCCTAAACCCTAAACCCTGAACCCTAAACCCTAAACCCTAAACCCTAAACCCTAAACCCTAAACCCTAAACCCTAAACCCTAAACCCGGCTTAAACCCTAAACCTAAGCCCTAAACCTCCCCCCAAAGAAGAAGGACCCTCAACCCCCTGAGCATCCCTTAGGTTTAGGCTTAGGGTTGAGGGTTGGGGGTTTCAGGGTTTAGGGTTGGATTCTTACATGAGTTTAGGACCTCAGGCACCAGCAAGCAAGCAAGGTATCGCAAGAAATCTCCTAAGCCCTAAGCCCTAAGCCCTAAACCCCCCACACCCTAAACCCTACTGCAGGGTGTGAAGATGCTCCTCACTGCCTGCGAGAATGAAACGCACATCGACTTGATCGTGAACGCGTTGAAGGTCGGGCTTAGGGTTGAGTTTCAGGGTTTAGGGTTCAGTGTTTCGGGTTTCGGGTTTCGGAATCACCCAAAGAACCAAAATGACGTTAATGACACAAACAACCCACACCAACCCAACAGCCTTCTTAAACCCTAAACCCTTAACTCTAAACAATCCGAAAACCCTAAACCCTAAACCCTAAACCCTAAACCCTAAACCCTAAACCCTAAACCCTAAACCCTAAACCCTAAATCCTTCAGGAAAGTTTAGCACGCAGGCCATCAAGCACTGAGGGGTTTCGGGCAAGTGCTGTTGGACGCGGAAGTTGCAGCTGCCGTTTCGGGTTGAGGGCTTGGGGTTCCCGAAAACCCAAAACCCAAAACCCAAAACCCAAAACCCAAAACCCAAAACCCTAAACCCTAAACCCTAAACCCTAAACCCTAAAGCCCGCAACTCTGGGATGCCAAGAGTTCGTGCTTCAGGTGCTTTCAGCTTCCGAAACTCTAGGGTGTAGGCTTTAGGGTTAGGGTTTAGGGTTTAGGGTTTAGGGTTTAGGGTTTAGGGTTTAGGGTTTAGGGTTGAGGGTTGAGGGTTTAGGGTTTAGGGTTTAGGGTTTAGGGTTCAGGGCTGGCCCTCTTTGCAGCAGGCTCTGATTCCCTTCGCCTGCTCTGACGAGTTCCGCCCGCAATTGGGAATGGACGGCATCCCGGACTCTCCAAGGTTTAGGGTTTAGGGTTTAGGAATTTTGGGTTCAGCGGTGTAGGGTTTAGGGTTTAGGGTTTAGGGTTTAGGGTTTAGGGTTTAGGGTTTAGGGTTTAGGGTTTAGGGTTTAGGGTTTAGGGTTTAGGGTTTAGGGTCTAGGGTCTAGGGTCTAGGGTCTAGGGTTTTTGGAATTTTGGGTTCAGGGGTTTAGGGCTTAGGGTTTAGGAGCTTTAAGCGCATGACTGTCGACACTAGAGCCTCAACCCTCCACCTTACTCCCCAAACCCCAAACCTGAAACCCGAAGGGTATGGGGTAAAGGGTATAGGGATGCAGAATGTGTGGTTCAGGGCCTGGGGTTTAGGGTTTGGGGTTTTGGCCCTCTTCGTCGCTTTGCCTCTCGGCTTTTCATGAGTTCCACCCCTGAAAAGAGGCTGAAACCCCAAACCCCAAGCCCCAAACCCCAAACCCTAAACCCCAGACCCCAAACCCTAAACCCCAAACCCTAATTGGGGCTTTCAAGTTCGGATTCTACTGGGGTTTGGGTTTCGGGGGGGGGGGGGGGGGGGGGGGGGGAATTGTGGAGGGAGGGAGTCTCAAGCGGAAGGTCACGGCCTGGCCTACTTGGGATCCCAGCACGAAACCCACAAAACCCACCAGTCCCATCAAATCCGCCAAACCCACTAAGCCCACTAAGGCCACTGAACCCACACAGACCACTAAATCCACTGAACAAACCCTAAACCCTAAGCCCTAAGCCCTAAGCCCTAAACCCTAAACCCTAAACCCTACACCCTAAACCCTAAACCCTAAACCCTAAACCCTTAAACCCTAAACCCTAAACCCTAAACCCTAAACCCTAAGCACAGCCGAGGTGGCTTGGACACCTTCTCCGCCTTCATGTTTTCTGCTTCCGGGCTGCACTGGGAGGGAGTTTTTCGAAGCCGAAGGCCCCCAATACCCATCAACCCTGAGCCCTAAGCCGCTTACTTAAGGTTTAGGGTTTAGGGTTTAGGGTTTAGGGTTTAGGGTTTAGGGTTTAGGGTTTAGGGTTTAGGGCCATACGGACCCCAAGCACTCCTTGAACAGGCGTTCTTGCGGCCTGATGTCGGGTTGGGGGTGGCTCAGGTGAGGTAGGGTTTAGGGTTTAGGGTTTAGGGTTTTTAGGGTTTTTAGGGTTTTTTATGGTTTTTATAGGGTTTTTAGGGTGTTTAGGGTTTTTAGGGTTTTTAGGGTTTTTAGGGTTTTTAGGGTTTTTAGGGTTTTTAGGGTTTTTAGGGTTTTTAGGGTTCTTAGGGTTCTTAGGGTTTTTAGGGTTTTTAGGGTTTTTAGGGTTTTTAGGGCTTTTAGGGTTTTTAGGGTTTTTAGGGTTTTTAGGGTTTTTAGGGTTTTTAGGGTTTTCAGGGTTTTTAGGGTTTTTAGGGTTTTTAGGGTTTTTAGGGTTGTCGTCGTAGAGGATCCCATGCTTGGTTGCCCAGTGGTACCCTTTACACTTTTTTGGCTCTGGGTTCCCTTGTAAGGTATCTAGCCGGTTTAGGGTTTAGGGTTTAGGGTTACTGGGCTACTCAGCACGATGAGTGTGGAGGACCAGTTGCAGCTACAGCAGCTGGGGGTCTACTTGCTGCAGAACCTCCTTGCCACTCGCTTGCAGTGGAGGGCTTCTCAAAACTAAACAATCCCACACCCTAAACCCTAAACCCCAAACCCCAAACCCTAAACCCTAAACCCTAAACCCTAAGCCCTAAACCCTAAACCCTAGACCCTAAACTACCCTAAACCCTAAACCCTAATCCCCAAACCCATGCTGCAAGAGCAAACCCTGTCCCACAAGGAGTTTCGGGAGAATCGTACCCGAAGCCCTAAACCCTACACCCTAAACCCTACACCCTAAACCCTAAACCCTAATCCAAACCCTAAACCCTAAACCCTAAACCCACAAGGAGTTTCGAGAGAATCGTCGGATCTTCCTCGCCTTGTCTGAGGAGAAGAAGTGTGAGGACCTGCGCCCCAGCAACCCCCCAACACCCGAAGCTAAGCCCATTTTGGGCTTAGAGGGTTTTGGGTTTCGGGTTTCGGGTTTTGGGGTCTTGGGCGACTCGGGGTCCACACTAACAAGAGCCCCTTGTTTCTGCAGGGCTGCACCCTCAACCCTAAACCGCCGCATACAAAGCCGCCCTTTCAGTTCCCTCGGGTGAGGAAGACTACCTGGAGAGCCTTTTGCGGCTGCTGCCCAGAGTTAGTGTCTGGGCGTGTCGTTCAACCTCACGCCCGGATTTTCGGTTCTCGGGATTTCGGGTTTAGGGTTCAGGGTTTGGGGCTTAGGATTTGTTGAGGCTTGGGGATTCGCTTGTAGGGTGCTCGGGACCCGAAACCCTGAACTCGACCCCCCTTCCCGGCCCTGGAAAGACTCTGGTCTCCTTCATCCTAAACCCGAAACCCTAAACCCTAAGCCCTAAACTCTAAACCCTCAACCCTAGCCCTAACCCTAAACTCTGAACCCTAAACCCTAAACCCTAAACCCTAAACCCTAAACCCTAAACCCTAAACCCTAGACCCTAGACCCTAGACCCTAGACCCTAAACCCTAGACCCTCAACCCTAGACCCTAAACCCTAATTCCTAGCCCTAAACCCTAAACCCTGAACCACAGGCACCGGGCAGCCCAACCGCATCAAGGCGATGAAGAAGGATGGCGGCCGGGCTGCATGTGAAGCTTCGCCTTCCCCCCCCTATTCAAGGTTTAGGGTTTAGGGTTTAGGGGTTTAGGGTTTAGGGTTTAGGGTTTAGGGTTTAGGGTTTTGGGGTTTAGGGTTTAGGGTTCAGAGGTTTAGGGTTTAGGGTTTAGGGTTTAGGGGTTTAGGGGTTTAGGGTTTAGGGTTTAGGGGTTTAGAGGTTTAGGAGTTAGGGTTTAGGGTTTGGGGTTTAGGGTTTAGGGTTCAGGATTTAGGCTTTAGGGTTTTAGGGTTTGGGATTTGGGGTTTAGGGTTTAGGGGAGCCCTTGCTTGCTCTTGAGGCAAGGACAAGGGGGAAGCCGAACCGATCCTCACCAAGCACGACCCCTTCGTTCTCCGGCGCCGTGGACCAGGGTTTAGAGGGTTGGTGGTTGAGAGTGTAGAGGCTTGGGGTTTAGGGTGTAGGGTTTAGGGTTTAGAGTGTAGGGTTTAGGGTTGAGGGTTTAGAGGCTTAGGGCAGGTTGGGGTTTCGGGTTTGGGGTTTCGATGCAGGGTTTCAGAGGTTCAGGCGCCGAAGTGTTCATGTTTACGGTCTATACTACGGAGTTTTGAGGTTTAATTAGTGGTGCCGGGTTGTACGGTGTTAGGGGTTGTTTAGATTTAGGTGCAAGATTCTCGGGGTTTGGGGTTTCAGTCCTCAACCCCAGATTCCCTAAACCCAGAAACCCTCAACCCCAGACTCCCTAAACCCAGATTCCCCAACTTGAACCGCGAAAATGGCTACAGAATTTGCATGATGCAGGTGTGGACCTTTAGGGTTTAGGGTTTAGGGTTTTGGGTTTAGAAGTTGAGTCAAAGGCCACTCCCAAGATTTGCACGGGACTGAGGCGTGAGCGCGATGCACAACGAAATCCGAATCCTCTCAGAACGCATGAATGGAGCCCCGTGCAGACCCTAAACCCTAAACCCCATTGTGACTTGATCTGAACGAAGCCGCAAGCGCCGGTTGTAGCTGTTTTGGCTTCAAATCACAGCTGCTATTCCATTTAGCTCTTCCTCTTTGTATCAGGATGGAATTCTTTCAGGAACTATTGGGCCAATTCCCTCGCAGCACAGAGATCGCGAACGGAGAAGTTTGTTTGCGCTATTTGGTCAGCATGCCAGCAGTGCTTGACCCTTGCCCAGGACATTTTATATGCCCAGAGGGCTGGAAGCATCCCGGTGAGATGGCAAGCATGTATCATAACACAGACTTGAAAGTCCTAGTGCAACCGGGCAGATTCTGCAGTGGAAGCCGTGGCATTTTGGATGACAAAGCCCTCTACACCTCCAGCATGGGTACATGGGCAGGTTTGGTGGCGTTTTTGGTCATGGCAGTACCCAGCATGCTTACATGTGCCTGAGTCGAGAGCTTACAGCCTACTTGCAGGAGTTACCTGTCGCTGTCTTCATGCTTATGCTGGCATTGGCCTTGGAGAGTGGATACTTGTCTTTACATGCAGATGACAGAGTGAAGATTCTGAGCGGTGAAGAGCCAGGACATCTTCCTCAACTATGTCTTTGCTGAATGCAAAGGCAAGCAAGGTTGGCGCCCTTCGATCCTCCTTGCTCCAGAGGATGTCTCCTGCTGCTGCGGTGGGCTTTGATACACAACCTGCAGAAGGCCAGATGTCGTAACGGCCAAGTCTTACCCATTGTGGGGCAACAAGCTGATGATCGTCTGTTATTGAGGAGCCATGACAACGTGCTGGCTGTGAGAGAGCGGAATCTTGTCGTCTTTATCACGACGAAGCACGAAGCAGTGCAATGAGCTGCAATGAGAAGCCTAGGATGACAAGCCTAGGATGACAGGCAAAAGTACGTCCCTGCCACGTCTTGCAATGCGGAGCGATGTAGGGCTTCAAAAAAGTGCATCTAGCGCCTAGGCGAGAGCGAGATACGCCCGGCGCCTAGGCGAAGTGAACCCATCAGTTTCCCTACTTCTGCTGGCGTTTGTTTTGGGGAATTAAGCTGCCAGTGGTAGCCACAAGAAAGGAAGCACAGGTTTTTCACTAAAATCCTTTAGGCCTTAAGCCTCAACGCTACCAATGATTATTGCTCGTGATGATTATGATGATCGTTCTCATTATCTTGTGACTATAAGTGCTATATCCAGTCTGAGTCTGACCAGCCCTAAGCCCTAAGCCCTAAGCCCTAAGCCCTAAGCCCTAAGCCCTAAGCCCTAAGCCCTAAGCCCTAAGCCCTAAGCCCTAAGCCGTAAGCCCTAAGCCCTAAGCCCTAAGCCCTAAACCCTAAGCCCAAAACCCTAAAACCCTAAGCCCAAAACCCCAAAACCCTAAACACTAAACCCTAAACCCGGCAACACGCGGAGGTGCTGCATCCACTGCATCGCACTTTTGAGCCTGGAGCACCACTTGGGCAGCTTCCAGCGTGGCCCTTCTGAGGTTTAAGTGTTCAAGGGGTCATAGCCCTATACCCCAAAGCCCTAAAGTTAAACATCCTAAACCAAGCCCCAAACCCTAAACCCTAAACCCTAAACCCTGAGCCCTAAACCCTAACCCTAAACCTTAAGCCCGAAGCCCTTAGGGTTTAGGGTTTCAGGCGCATCGGGTTCCGAAGGTCCATGCAGCTCGCTCGGATTTAGGATTTAGGGTTTAGGGTTTAGGGTTTAATTAGGGTTTAGGGTTTAGGGTTTAGGGTTTGGGGCTTGTGCTCTGCACTCGCTCGCGCTATCCAGGGCCGTTAAGCCCCCTTAGCCCGTGCCTCGAAGCCGCCAGACTAAGGACACTCTGCCTGGAAGCCTCAAGACCCTACGCCCCGAATGGCCCTTGAT